AAACATTACACGATTTAACCACTAGAGGGCAGCAGTGTTAAATCATTAACATTGCATGATGATCCAGTGTGTGGAATGTGGGCTAATGCTATCAAACGAAGCACTGAAGCCTTCAAAAATAAAGCGACACCTAGCGAAGAAACATCCAACGCTCGTGGGAAAGCCTGTTGGGCTTCTTGTTGTGTATGCAGGTTTACATACACATGATAAATAAATGTCTTTGTGATCATCACATTGTATCATCTCATTTATTTGACAAGGGTTTTGCCTGTTCAACTCCGCGAGGACGCTGGCGTCAGCGATCCCCTCCCCTTCCGTTCTGTTCCTACGGCTTGCTTGCGCAAACTACGTCACAAAACATGGCCGTCTTTGGTATCCCAGCATGCCAAAAACCCTCATCTTTGCAAAGAAATCATCGATTTTCTTTCATTTCTTATGGATTTTTCACAAAAGGAGCCCAAACACACACTGTCAAAAGTCGCCATAACCGCTGCAAGTCGGATCTTGCAGCATTTCGACGGAAAAAGATACATTACAGACCCAACAATGTGCTAGCGGATGTTACCATGGAGCTAGTAGCTTCAGAAAACGCTAGTACTTAAAGGACAAACCTTAAGCTCGTTCGACTTGAGCCAGGCGTGCGCAGAATCGATCACCGGCAATCGGCGCACAATGCATGCTGGGTAGATTTGCGTCCGACTTGCTCTGACGTCATGAAAACGTGCGTAACGATGATCTCACGTGAGCGAGGCGGCCGCAGATTTTAGAGCCAGGCAATGCAGAATTGCTCTCCACCGACTGCATGACCCCAGGGCATGATGGGAAACTTCTTGCTGTCTTCGGATCAAAGAGCTGATTGGCTCTTAGATTTTCTTTATTAGAAGCGGTGGGCGATCGTGGCTCACTTTGTTAAGAGGGTTGTCTGGTGACTACAAGGTTCGTTGTTCGAACCATGGCCTTTGACGTGTCGCATGTCAAAGACAGCCCACTGCTCCCCATATTTAGGGATGGGTCAAATGCAGAGACAAATTTATCCTTAATTAACAGGATAAATATAGTATAAAAAAATGTAAATCCTAATTTTCTGTCTAATTGTAATACTTAACGCTAGATTGTTGACTTAATAGCCATCTAGTCTCATTTTGTGCAATAACAATAATAATATATAAGGTTATTTATTTAGCATCTGTAAATAAAGATATTTATTGAGAAAGCCTACATCCTACTTGATGTCAACATGTTTTCAGTCAGAGCACTGGAATGTGTCCATTGATTAATGATTGTGAAGCATCACAAAACGTATTAATAGAAAAGCACAATTGTCACTGATGGAAACTTGCAGCGTTGCTTTTCCTCCGTGTGTAGCCTGTTTATGTAGCTGTGATGTTTGGACTGTTGGTTCAGTTTTTAAATTTCTTAAATTTACGGTTGTATGATTTAGAAATGACGCTATCTTCACATATATTTATTTATATAAATGTTTAAATAAATATGACATCCAAGAACTAAAATATGCCCAATCTTATATCCTCAATTATAATAATAACATAGTTAAATATATGAAAACACATCCAAACTTAAAGACCAGCAATTTTGGGGTTAAGTGTCTTGCTCAAGGACACATCGACATGCTCCTAGCGGAGCCGGGGTTCGGACCGCCGCTCCTCTGATTGAAGACTCTGACTGAACAGTTCCCTCTGTTATTAGAAAGCATAACAATGGAAAGTGTAAATTTTGTGGAGAAGAAGAAACCGTGGACCATGTTTTATTGTCCTGTCAGAGGTACGAGTCAGCGAGAGACTTTTGAAAAAAGGTCTAAGAGAGATTGGAGAGGAAAGCTTTAGTGACAAATGTTGGAAACTTTTTCTGGAATATTTAGAGTCAACAACACTAATGAATAGAATTTGAGAAAGAAATGTATTATTTATTTTTTCTATATATATATATATATATATATATATATATATATATATATACATATCTTTATTCATTTACACACATATGTATATGTATGTGTGTGTATATATGTATATGTATTTATTTTCGTTTGGTTGTCGTATTAGAGTCCTTAGTCCACACTCCAGATCAGTGGGAGGCGGTCATGCACCCGAAAGCTGTTTGCCAACCGCCAAAAAAAGCAAAAGAAAGAAGAAGAAGAAGAAGAAGCAGGCGGCTGAAAACGGTCCGACTTGAACGCAGTTTTTTGTCAACGCCCCTTTCTACGTCCGCCTGCTCTCGTCTGCTTTCCAGGCGAGGCGCAGTTCAACTCGAACGAGCCTCTTATCTTCCCCTTACCTAAGCCGTCAACCAACGTATAACCTTGCGTAACTGAGCTACCCTCATACTCGATCGTGCGCTCAGTCGCAGCCATTACGCGCACAGTAAGTCCGCTACTTACATACCACGTCTTCGATCATACATATATAGTTTTTGCAATTTGCAAAGGCTAAAAATAAAAGGAAAATAATATAATATCAAAATACAAAGGGAGAAACACCTTTAGTGTGTCAGAATATCATTTGGTTACCATGTGTCCATTTGGGTCTCCAAATATCCTTTTAGAGCTCCGCCTGGATCTCTTCATGGAAGAAACACTGTAGAATCGTCATACTTTGTCCAATCTTCTTCAAATTTGAGGCAGTTGTTCACTGATAGTGTAGTTACAGCCATATTCTGTCATTTACCTGTACAGATACAGCCACAGGCAGTTATTTATACTGAAAGATACTTTTTTATTTTATGCGGACAAAAATCTTCAATTTTTACTGACTCCAAAGGCCCACTGCTCTGTTTCTATATGACCTACAGGTTTTCTGACACTTTTGATGCATATAGTCACAGTGGTTCAGAAGCTACAGCCATTTTAATTTGGGTATGTCATTTTAGGCGGTTTTGCTCCAAAATAGGGGTGGAGTTGAACAGGTAACAATATAGTTATTGAATACAAATCAAACCAAGAGTGAGATCAATTAGTTAAACTAATAGTGTTAATATTTGAATGGGCCCCGGGACACTTTGTACTTGAAAAGTTGGGCCCCGAGGTCAAAAAGGTTAAGAACCCCTGATCTAGCATTCATTTGGTGTTCATCACTGTTCCCGTGATGATTAGGCATCACTGAAGAACTGCAGCAGTTTCACCTCCACTGCTTTTCTTCTGTATTTCAGATTTCTCCTGAAACGTTGATCGTGGTTTTCCTGTGTGTCGTCGTTCCCATCTGCGGTTCTGTCCCTTCTGAAAACTAGGGACCAAATTTCATATGAACGCAATCTTTTCTCATCTTTATTTAGAATAGTAAAAGAGTACAGAAGAGAAGGTATTTGGCAAATGGACCAGTGAAATCTCCGTTGGCGTTGGAAGCGGTTTTGAAGCTATTTGTCCTTTTAAACAAAGCAAAACCGACTGGAAACATGAAAAAAAAGCATTTCACAGTGTATCAAAGTACTGTACAAAAAGTCACCTTACAAAAAGAAAAAAGATGGATGTTTCCTAATTGTGACCAAACTGGCATCACATTGAATTAATCTAATGATATTTAGAGATCGCCACGAGTGTGTTCACATGCACACAGTTTAAAATCCGGGTTTAGGTCTTATTCAAGCATTTTTTTATACATGTTTTACTCTCATCACAAATGTGTCGTCACACAGGAATATTTACCAGGCAGACATATAAAATGCAAAAAGAAAACTGCGCACAAACCCATGCTTCAGTGTCCCAAATACTTCTGGAGAGTCCCATGAAAATCATTCAGGTTTATCATGAAGATAAAAGCCTCCTTTTTGTAAACATGATACGTGTTTGGGGATGAATATTTAATCTGTTTGTGAACAACACTTAATGGCACCAACACAAAAATGAAAGGAAAAGCAGAAGGACTGTGTGCTGCCAGTTTGGAGAAACAAATACATTTTGAATGACATCGTGGGCGACTGCCATCACAGACACTAGTGGTGCAGAAAGTGTAATAAGAGGGACGGTGTGGGAGGATGTGTGTGGGAGTGAATCAGCTCTTCAGGGGTAGTCAAAGTGATTCTGTGTCTATAATGAGAGTCTTTTCTGGTGTTTGTGCGGTCTGAAGTCCAGATTTCGACCCAGGCGAGTCTCTCTGTGCAGGTTCATCAGTAAAGGTCTTTCCTGGTGCTCGGCAGGGAGCGGCTGGCAGAGCAGGTGGCACTGCGGATCACCTCCATCCACCTGGAGACGAGACACATATTTATTACTGAAGTGCATACAACAGGATATGGATATTTGAGTGCTAAAATACAGGTACAAATATTTCTGTATTATTTCAACAGGTGGGTAACCAAAGTTTAGGTACAATGCTGTGCCATTAAGATGCGAAAAACGAGCTTTTGTCCTATGTTACAAACATAAAACTTCTTTTCCTGACATTGCTAAATCAAAATGGAAAAAAAGAAAATTCTGTGTTCTGTTGATTTGAAATGGTGACTGTGAATGTATAATATAATAGCAACCTTTCAAAGGTGTACTCGCTCTCTGATCTGAAGTAGTAGACGTGGGATTTGAAGTGGAGTTTGAAGACGTAGTCTTTGTGGATGTTCTCGGACTCGGACGGGACGGTGACGGAGTAGCCCAGCAGAGGAAGGCTGGCCAGAGGGTAGTCATCCTGTGAAGAGACGAGCCAGAAGTCATCTTTATGCATCAACATGTTACGACCTGACCACTTTTTTATTTTCACTGTATCTATATGCATCTAACCTGGTGTGACTTGTAGAAGAAGAGGCTGAAGTTGGTGAAGACCACCCAGAGTTTCTGCCAACCGTTACTGTTCTTAAACTTCCGCAGCAGGTTCCCCGACAGCTGGTTCTGGAAAAGAAAGTGAGTCAACAAAAGACACGCAAGGCCAAATAAAGTGACACCAATTCCATAATAGTGTTAGAAACGGGGAGGGGGGGGACTGGAAGGAAAATCTGTTTGATTCTGTTTGTCCAGTAAAATGTAGTTCTCTCTATTAATCACAAGTGTCATCGCATCTTGCAGTGAAATATCTGGCGAATCATTAAATTCTCGGCAGCCGTGGCGTTTGCAGTACCTCTCTACTCCAGCAGGAGTCACTTAACGACAGGCTGTGTGCCGGCAAACCACACATAGAGAGAGACACGGGGCCGCTGAAGGCTGCTGAGGGGCCTCGGCAACTCACCTGCCGGACTACTACTGCTGCTTTCTAGTAATGTCAGCGTGGAAGGACAGAGGTGGAAATGGACAAATGGAAGATGGAGATAGGAGAGAGGCAAGGTGGAAGAGATAAAGGTGGAGGTGTAGAAGAGAAAAAAGGACAGAAACAAAGACATGAGAGGAAAAGTAAGACAAGAGGAGGAGAAGAGGACCAGGACAGACAACACAGTGGACAAAAACACAAGACTGGACTCCACAGCGCCAAGACACGAGAGGAAAACCAGGTGTGTGATGTGTGGAGAGAAGACGATTAAAGAGATGCGGGGCCGGTACCTCCACGGCGACACTAAAGTCCACCATGGACACGCTGGTGTTGCGATGCCAGCAGACGTGCACGGTGGTGTTGCTGCGGTGACCCTGGCGCTCCAGAGACGAGCGCGAGCCGCAGAGCTCCTCCTCCGACTCCAGCTCGGCTCCCCTGTCCTCCGACAGCTCTGGGGAACGATGGAGAGGTGAAATGTGCCGGTTAGAAGAAAGAAACTCTGATGTCACTGGGTAGAATTTATGACACGTAAACTGTCCACCATTTAAAAAGCCGATGTGTACACAAGTCAGACATGTCCTCATCATGACAATAAAAAGGCTAAAGAGATAAAAGATAAAAGATTATTGGCATGACGATAAAACGCTTCATGGGTTCGTATTTACATGATTCAAATGTTATGAAATCTATATTTTTTAATTACTGACTAATAAATTCTGTTTTTGGTATCAAATTCCTTTCATCTTCACAGATTTTGCCACAGAATGTAACGCCAAAGTGCTGACTACATGAATCCCAAAGAAACCAGCTCTGCCACATCCTGAGGTCTCTTTAGTTACTGGCTAATGTTCCGGATCTTAACTGGTTGCAGCCGCTGCTGGAAATTGCCACTGGACACTTGATCCAGAAAAACTTCGCTCTGTTTGGCTTCTTTTTTTTTTTGGGCTGCTGAGACTTGGATGTAACTTTGTAACAACAGTCTGGCTTTAATTATAAGATTGAAGCCAGATTCAGTTCACAGCAGTCTAAAAATGTGTGTAAAAACTACAATATCATAAGGTGAATTAAGTATCATTACATAGTAGTACCACGTTAATGGTTGGAAAATGGCTGCAGGCTTCTGAGCCAGAACAGTGATCAAAGCAACTTCAATACAGTCTGGACAAAATAAAAGAGGAAAGAGGCTTTTGTTGTTACTTGTAAGCCAATACTCTTCAACAGTTTGAGTTAAAAATGTACATAGCAGGGGATTTCGCTGAGGGACAATGGAGATGTCAAAGCGAAAGGTCACCAGCTCGAGGCCTCATTCAACACCGTGACAGGCGTTTATGATACAGAATGAGAAAAGAGAAGAGGAGAAACGGAGGCAACAGCTGGTGCCTGGGCCTACATATATCAGGTGACATTAAAAAAATATGATGAGAGACCACCTGGAACAATTCAGAGGGATTATTCATGAGGTGCTGAGAGGCAGGGAAAGAGGTGTGTATGTGGACTATAGACAAAGAGATGATCCATTCCCCTTAAAGAAAGACCTTATTATTATTATTATATCAGGTCCCAGCTGTCATATTCACTTCAGCCATCAAGGGTGACAAATCCCACGTGGAAACATTTCCAGAAATAACTCTCTGGTGGGGCTTTTTTGTGGCTGCACTCTCTGGTTCCCACAGGGTCTCATACCATCCTGCAACACTGATGATTAACTGATGATTGGACAGGAAGTGGTTATTTGGGACATCTATTCTAGAGAGGTGCTGGTTCACAGACAGCTTTTAGTCAACTTATAAAGAAACCACAGTTACCATTTATACCAACTAGTACAGGTGTTACAAATCATCAACTTGAACCCCTAACACATGGCCTCACTATCAAGATAAACAATCTTACATTCAATTGGATCGAACAAGACTCGGTGGCCACTTTATTAGGTACACCTGTTGAAGTTAATGCAACTAAACACAACAGCTCAGCCATGAAGTCTACTTGTATGATGACCATAATGTGCAGATGTACCTAATCAAGTGGACATTGAGTGTTTATCAATAAAAGAATATAAAAATTGACGGTGAGTCTCACATACACATCTCACATTGACTGTAGACATATACTAAACTCACTGTTGTCAGAGAGGCTGGTGGACAGCAGGTCAGTGCTCGGGCTGCTGCTCTGCTCCGCCAGGTCGATGGCCATCCTGATGTCCTCCACCCACCGCTCCATCTCTGACGCACAGCTGGACGCAGACAGAGAAGAAGACAGAAGGAGACCGGATGTAAAAGTGGGTCTTTATGTATCTGCATGTTGTGGAAATATGAACTTACTAACCCTTAACTTCTTTCATTCACAGCAAATGCTTGTCATATTCATAGTATTCACTGTCATGTAAAAGGAATATATATATATATTACTGTGTGTGTTTATGTATACCTGGCTGCCACCACCACAGACTGGCGCTGTCCAAACAAGGTGAAGGAATGAGGGACCCCCCACTCCTCCTCGCTTTCTCTGATCTGCAAAAACACACAACATGTGATGAGCCCGAATAGCCGAATGAAACACAACTTTTAGTAAAGAATGACAACTTTGCAGGTTTTAATGCGATACGAGTTAATCCTGCAGTGACTGAAATCCTTTTTTAAAGCATGTTGTTAAAGGATGATGGTTACGTACCGTCATGCTGTACAACGGCAGCTGGCCGTGAACTTTAAACTGGTTGGACGGGGTCATTCCTCGACTGGTGTACACCAAGGAATCACTGAACTGGAGAGTAAGGAAGAAAAGAAGAAAAAGTTGAGGTTTGTTTTTCTGCAGTTGACGATATTAGACTCACTTTGAAAAGTAAGCTGAAGTTTCATACCAGGAAGAACATCCTCTGCTGAAGGCCCTTCCCTGAGAGCTTGCTGAGGCAACCGAGCCGGATGAATTCCTGAACACACAAACACACTATAATAAATATGAGGCCAACAGAGGGGAAGCCAAGACGCAGACATTTGCAGAATTTTGCAGGTCACGGAATAATTTCCGCCTCAAACATTTAAAAAAAAAAGCAATTTAAAAGTCAGTCTTTTCTACTGAGAACATCCAGGTGTCGGATCAATAAATAAATGTAAAGAGTCTAACCCTCCCGGGGATGGCGAGGTTGTCGATGCCCGTCAGATCTTTCTTCAGCTCTAGAAGCTTCTGGAAGTTCTCCATCTTCATCATGGTGCCTTGGAGCTGCTGCACCATCTCGGAGATGTCCGCCAGGGCCGCTAAAGAAGGATGAAAAGATGGTTATAAATAACACAATGTCGTTTCACATGTGCAAAAATGAATACATAAAAAGTCAGATATAAGCACCTCTACAGTCCCTGAAGTCCTCGTGGGTGGGCGGGTAGTGCTTGCAGAGCCTCTCCAGGATGAGTTTGTAGTGCAGCAGGCGGTGGAGAGGTCGGAGGAGGAAGATGTTGAGGGGCAGGTAGCAAACTCTCTGCTGCTCAAAGTCTCGGCACACAGCCTCCGCTTTCCGACTGGACCTGAGGAGCAGGGAGGCAAATGAGGTTAGTGATCTATTTCAGAACGAAGCCTTTGCACTTTTCTTTTCAGATATTAAAAAGCTAACCTGCAGACCCGTTCCAGTTCGACCAGGCACTCGGAATGCTTCTGAAGATGAACCGTCAGCTGCTGCAGATGCAAAAGACGGACAAATAATTGATAAAAAAAAAAGACGAGGAATAGAGAGAGATGTGTAATCCAAACAGAGTTCTGCTGCCAAAGGGGAGCCGTAGTTACCCTCAGACCCTGAATGTTCTTCAGGAGAATGTCACCAATTCGCTGATAGTCTCCTTTAATGTGGGCATTAGAGCGACCCTCCCTAAGGAAGAGACAACACATCAAGAGCTTCTTTCACATGCAGTTACACTTATTCACCAGTAGATGCCAGCATACAGCTAAACTTGTACCACCATGACTGGAAAATCTTCACTCAATTCCCACAATCCCATTCAATTTACCAGCAAGTCCTTGGGCCCTCTCCAAGTCTATGTGTGTGTGTGCGTGTGTGCGTGTGTGTGTGCGCACACGCGTATCCTCTAGTATGTCATTACAGAAATAACACAGACACCATTCCCACAGGAGGAGATGCATGTGCACATTTAGTTCCCATGCAAAGTCACATTAACTCAGCTGGTTTATCTGAAAGCTGAAATGACTGTTTAATATGTGTGTGTATAAACAGTACGTAGGTTCCTTTAAATGGAGACGGACTGCGTTGGAACAGGTGCTTGTGTCAGAAGCAGTTTTCTGCACCAAAGCTCTCAGTTATCTGAATGGGAAACAGATACTGACCACTGTGCCAGCCGCTGCTCCACCTCTTTGAGGAATCCCTGGTGAAAGTTGTGGACCGGATCGTAGCTGGCAGAGATCAGCTTCTTCACGGGGTCTGGGAAGGCCTCATCTTTCCCTGCAACTCCATGGAAGGACTACAACAGACAACACCGATGAGAAACGGAGACCAAATGATAAATCAATTAACTGAAAAAATAAATGTCAGAATAATCAATAATGAAAATATTCAGCAGTTGCTTTTACACACCAGATGTTTATAAGAAAATGATGCTTTAAAACAAATTCATTTACAATACACAAGTTATTTTTTGGAATAAAAATAACGTGAATGTAATTGAAATCACTAATAATTATAATCCACCCAGAAACAGACACTTATTTTGATTACAAGTGACGTATATGAGGAACACGCAGAAACAGACATACAGGTACGATCCCAGCAGAGGATAGGAGGTCGGTGGGTCAGAGGTTGACTTGAAAGCACAATGACGTTTGCTTGCGCCGAGGAAAAAGCATCAGCTAGCTCACACACAGACACACACCGTGACCCTGACACCGAGGTGTTATATTCCCCCTCAGAGTAAAACGATTACGACAGATAGGGCAGACAGGAGGCCGTCCAGCTGCTTCACAGAAGGACTCGGTGGGAGAGAGGAAGGGTGACAGCGAGTGAGGGAGGGATGGAGGGATGGAGGCGGTGCCAGCCAAAGAAAATATTTAAGAGGTTTAAAAAAATAAAAAAAGAGCCAGCGCACGCCAGTTCCTCCCACATCAAAGAGGGTGGAAACTACTGTTGGGAAGAAAAACAGCTGAGAGGGAGAAAAAGACACAAATATGATTTTTTTTATTTGAGCAAGGTCAGATGTCAGCTTCATAATATTAATGCTACAGGTGTTTTCTCTAGTCCTGCTGCTGATTTCCCCCTCATTTGTTAGTAGAGACAGTAAAAACACGCAGACAGTAAAAGTTGACTCACATAAACAGCAAAAGACCAAATCTGACCCACATTAAGCTGCACTTTCATCCCAGGATTTAAGATGCAGACGTTGTGTTTATGCAGACGGAGCGGCTTTTTCCTCCGTGTTGACTTTAGTGGCTTTACTTGTAAACTACAGAGCCCGGAGCTAATAGTCTGTGTCGTCTTAAAGAACAAACAACATACGAGTAGGAGGTGAACTACAACACATGCGTTGCTTTCTTGTGGAAAAAAACAGAGAGAATGTCATTTAGAAAACACAAGGAACTTAAATACGCTCACTGGGAAGCAGTGATCCGTCCTGAACAAGAAAAAAGCCCATAAAGCCTCAGATGTTGAACCTCACTCTTCAGCCGTGGGCCAAACTAAATGCACATAAAAGCCCACTTTTGGGATGTGAATTAAAAACACTGGAACACAGAGCCGAAACAGCCAAAGTAACTGATATTAATATTAATGTCATGTGACAGAAAAGACCGGCAGCTTGTGATTTTGGTTCCCAACTTTCTGACTATAAAAACATCAAATGCACATCCTGATTCCAGCACAAACCCGCTCTGACTCACTGTCCCAAACACATAAGCTTTTAAAAGGCTAACTTGAGCTCAGAATGGAACCAGTTTGACTCACTGTTCCAGGAACAAGGCTTTAAAGAGACCAGCCTTGCTTCACTGTGTCTCTGGGTTGCCAGACTCGCACCTGGCTTTTTAAAGATCCCTCTCTCTCACAGCCAATAGACTCAACCACATCACGTAAAGGAAGCATGTGTAGAAATCTTTACCTCTGTGATGACCTGCAGGTCTTTGAGGTAGGTCCGCTCTGTGGTCAACAGTTCCTTGGCTATGAAGTAAGCCTTGTCTGTGGGAAACTTCTGGACACAAACAGAAAGACCCATTCACTGACCGATCCCGCTGATATTACTTCCTAGATGTTCTACAAATCCATCCTCCGTCCACCCTCTCCCCGTATTTAAATCTACCTTCCTCCTGGCCTCTTCCTCATCATCGTTACGGACACATCCGGCATCAGTGAGCAGCGGGCTGGTGAGAGGCGACAGATGGTGTCCCTCGGGACTCTGACCCAGGGTGCCATTTACTGAGCAGTTGACGACCACGCAGGGACTTCCCGCCGGAGAGTCCTCTGAACCGGGACTTTCTGGGGGAGGAGAGGGGAAATGGGAAAATGGAAGACGAGGGGACAGGAATAGAACAAAGAGTGAGATAAGGGAGAAGATGGTGGGAGAGGATACAGGAGGAAGTTAAAATAAATTCTACATGTACTCTGCTTACATGAAATTCACTGCCATCTTCCTAATCATGTAATTCTTATATTGACGCCATCATAATTTCATTCTCAGTGGAGGAAAAGGCGTCTACATTCACCCTGCTTTTAGAAGCTCAAGACATCAACACATTCCTCAAATGACTTCTGTAAATGAATGAAACGTCTATGGTGATACATCTCAAGGTTAGACAATTCATCATGAACTGTGGGGTCAGGACCCAGCTGTCATGCTCGGGCAGGTCGCCACATGACAAAAATGCTACGATCACGCAACTCTGAAGGAGGCTACTTCTACTCTATTTCTCTATTTGGATTCTTTGCTGAAATATGGTTAAAAAGGGTCAAAAGAAGGCGAAATGTACAGTAGATGTTAGTAAGGAGCTGTGGATTAAACATAGCAGTGCATTATAAGGGTAATGCAGATGATTTGTCTGTCGAACGACTTATCAGTGAGTCATTTCAGCCCTGGTAGAAAACACACTAGAATCTATGAATAGTATTTCATCTTTTCCATTTCCCTTACAATGCACTATAGATATGATCTATAGACACGTGACAGTCTTGCTAGTTGTGATGACGTCTAAAACACCAGAGTCTGGTATGATTCATCAACCGGACAGGGAAACAAAAAGTTAAAGCTACTTCTCACTACAGAGGTTCACTACATGGTACTAGGTTGTGACTGTATACTTGCCCGGGTGCAAAGTTTCCAAAGAGTCCACTGTTACACACCAAACTGGATCATGGGTAAAAATCATGGGCAACCACTGAGTGCAGATCTGTGACGAGCGCTATAAAAGAACTTGCCACCATACAGACAAAAACAACTACACATAACACATGTGAAACAACGAGCTAGACAACATGAAACACAGACAGAAACGTGTGCACATGCACGACAACTGACTGGAGCGAACAACCTCTACTCTACGGGCTAACTACCACAGCACAAGACACGGGGGGGCAGGACTCAGGCAGGTTGAGGGGTTGGGGGGGTGGAGCCGGTTGACATCGGTTCACTCTACAGAAAATTCTGGAGTCCCTTTTCTTCGAACATACAAGGTAGTTTTTTTATTGACACTAGTGCACACAGTTACAGTGTTAAAGAGAGAGATGAAGGGTAAGGAAATAAAAGAGTAGAACCTCAAAGAAGTCACAAGAAATGAAATCCAGTGGGTGTTTTGTAATGAAAATAAAAAGAACAGGTGTGCAGGAATTCAAAGTGTTACAAGAGAGACAAAGAGAACCAGTGAGTCAGTGCGTCAAGGGAAGAATTATCATTTCAATGCCTTTCCTTTGTAAAGATAAAGACTTTTTGGCAGCTCTTCAGTAAGATTGGCAGCAGTTTTGCACCGTTCAGTGTTTTAGAGATTAACAAGACTGCCTCCAATCGTCAAATCAGAAAATTAGAAAAGACGGTTTATCCCGTCAAAAGAAGTGAGTCAGTAAAAAGTGTGTTATGTAAACAGAAAGAGAAGCACAGATGTGATGATAAAACGTCACTTTTTAAATACTATCAGTTAAAGAAAATCGTTTGACATTTAGGGAAACGTGCCCGCTGGGTTTCTTGTAGAGCGTCCGATGAGAGGATCGATACTGCTATCGAACTCTTGCCGAGAAATCAAACAAGTGCATTTCCCAAAAAAATGTTGAACTATTTGCTTTAAGCAGCCGGATATCATCAAACACGATCACATCATCACAGCATGTATACCGATGATTTCACCTTTTCCTTTTAAAGTAAATCTAGAAAACGTGGCTCTGATTGACTCCATTAATAACATACAAATTACAATACGAGTACAAAATCACAATCTATCAGTCTGTTACTGTATGTACAGTACACTAAAGTCACAAAAAGCTTTAATGGAAGGGACCGCAAGTGCTATTTGGTGACAGTGAAAGTGAGGACATCTCAACTCCAGTGTTCGTGTGTGTGTGTGTGTCCATCTTCTGACAATACTCAGACTTTCACACATGACAAAATGCCCTTTCAAAGATATCTTTGTTTTTGCACTTACGTTTGCATTAAGTTTAACTTTACTTGTGTCTGTCGATCTTCGCCCTCTCACTTTCCACTTAAAAAAAAACTAACACTGGAGTTGAGTCGGCCCTGTTTTGTCCTTGTGGACAGTGAGGGGCCAAAACACAAATGGTTTCTCAGTATTTGAAAAGGACAGGGTGCAGTTAATGAATCATGGCGGAGTTGTAACAAAAAGGCATGAAAGTTGTAAAGAAACAGGAAAGCTACACATTTCTAGAGTTGTTACATTTATCTGCTGCACCTAATGTTCCTCAAACACTTGAAACCATTGTGAGCCCCGTGACAGACACACAGAGAGACACATTGAGCAAAAACAGGGCAGAATGGCAGAAGAAGCAGGGACATTGCTCGCCTGGTTAACATGCATTCAGAGTAAAGAAAAGGAAACGGTGAGAAAACACTTCCCACTAACATGCTTTAAAAAAAAAAAAAAAAGCAATGCATTTACAAAGAATGAAGCGTGAACATTTGTTTCAGGGAGAAGCAGAAGCTCTGAGGAAAGAACAGGTTGTTTGGCTTTAGAAGGTGACTACACATGATGAGATGCTTGTTTTAGGGAGCACCGAGGAGCTATCGTCGAGTTTTCTGATATTAATCATAGTTCAAATGGTGTTTTTAATTCACCGCCAGTCAAACATTCGTCAGCATCTTTAGTTCCGAAATGTATGCATGCTAATTACCGGTATAATTTGTCTGCTACGTAGCAGGTACGTACAGAAAAACAAATAAAAGCATGCGTTGCAGTGAGCAGACAGCCAGCAAATGACAGTGACTGGGATGGAGTGCCAGAACACCTTCAATAAACAGCATTGGAACCGCATCAAAAGAGAGTGAAAGCTACATTTTCTTCTGTGTGTGTGTGTGTGTGGTTGCAGTGCACGCCAGGCGCCGAGCCAAGCAAAGCAGACAGCTGTGAGTGGGCACAGGTTTAAGGACGATGGTTGGCGGGTTTGATTATTGAAAGAAAGACTTTAAAAAAAAAAAAGCCCATGACCAGCCATCAGGATGCGTCTTCAGTAGAAATTTGGAGCTTCAGTTATTATCAAAAATACAAATATAAAAAGGTTAGAGTCTTCATTCTCTCCCTAATTGATGCAAATCTATTCAAATACTTGGTCCTCCACTTGTCCTAAATACAAAAAGAGAATTACGACATAAAAGTCTCTACCACAAACGTCCAAGTTACAGCGCAAGAAAAAGTGCTCTGAAGAAATCAGCTCGGGCCAAAACCGAATGACAAAGGCAGACCGGCCCGCTAGCTGCAGCCTCCCCACAGCCTACACATTTAACACAATGAGCTACCAAGTCAGGAGTAGTACTCTACAATCCATTGTCTACCAAGAACATTCAAATACACTGTACAATTCAAACTGTGTACGACATCTTTAAACCTCCATTAAAATCCTTTCAACAATGGAGTCCAGCTATTAGTTTAAAGCCCTCCTATTGCACAAGACAACAGTGAAATAATTATAAAAGTGTGATTTAGAGAAAATGCTACATTAGGACATTAAACATTATTACAACAAACAAAAGCTCTATCCGGGGTGGTAATGACCAAGAAAGGCAGCAGATCCTGGTCAACAGCTTTCAGAATCAACGCCACCTTAAAATCTAGCATCTCCTGCTTCAATATCTTAATATCTCACACAACACCGATATACAAAAGGTGAGCTACAATCAGAAGAATCCTAATTCATCCTAAATGGACTAGATTTGAATAACATCAATGCTATTAAATGATTTATGAAGAAAAACAAGGAAGAATTGCAGAATTAACTTCCCCATAAAAACTACGATTCTACATATGAAGCTATTCCTTTAGGTTTCCTAACTTGTCTACATAATCTGTATTTCTCATCTGCACATACATCTACACTAAATATTTAGTTGTTACGTTATGGCACATTGTAAGGAAGGTTACCTACAGTGAACAGACTCTTTAACTTGCCTCCAGGCTTTTAGGGTTGTTTCTCCCTTTGACGAATAGCCAGCCAAAGTCTTTACTATGTGTAAAGTTGAACAAAAGTCAGCAGTTTGCATACAAAAGTCAATACAAAAATGAGGATTGTGGGTTTTAGAAACAATGGGCGTATTATTGATTTGTCTAAAAGTGGGGCAGGTGCTTCTATTCAGTTAAAAACCCACAAAATATGTCAATTTCTAAACTTCAAAAATATGTTAAAACCTTTACACAAAATGTGTTTGTTTCTATAAGGTGTATCAAAGCTAGCCTAGTATAAACTGGTGGACTTCTTCTATTAATGTAGCTGTATCTGTGATACACTAAATAAATGTAATTCTTACATAACAGGATTATATTTATTTATTGTGCATTCTAATGCCTAATGTGAGGCCAAACTACTCGCATATCTTCACCCTTCAACAGCTGAAAACCCGCCCTCCTGTGTCTTCCTCGTTAAAACGGTAACACCCTTCCCCCTCCCCGTCCCCGTCTTGCCCCTCCTCCAGTTGGAGACTCCCGAAGGAGAACTTGCTGCGAGGCAGCGGGGACGAGTTCACGCCGTTCGAGTTCACCGAATTCATGGAACTGACAGCGGCGGGATTGCCGTACATTAACGGCTGGCTGTACGCGCTACTACCAGTGTCCGACTCTGTGTCGCTGGTGTCGCTGCCGCTGCTGGTAGACCCGTCGATCATTTGGACCGGCTGGTTCAGATTGTTGTGGTTGTTACGAGTCGGGTTGCTACCGGGCTTTCCCTGACGACCGAACAACCGCTGCACCGTGTTGGACCGCGGCTGACCTGGAACCAGGAGGTTCCCCGCGTGATTGCCATTGGTTATAATCATTCGCCGCTCCATCGGGGCGGAACACGGGGCTTGGCCGTGCAACCCAGAGCGATGGGGGTCAAGTTGGTGGACCGGGGTGGACGTCAGCTGGCTGAGAATGAATGGATCCGTGTCTGAGCGATTTCGCATGTTGTTGTTGTGGTACGGTTTGGCGAAATGTGGTGGTGTGCGGTTTGAGGTGATCGGTGAATAGCTACCGTAGTGGTTTAGTGGGAGGGATGGTGGCGGGACAGAGAGAGTTTCCACTGGGCCTACTCCTGGACGTTTACTGAAATAATACCCGCCGTCATCCCAACGTGGTGGGCGCGGCTGACCGCTTGTCATCTCAGCGTGACTGAGAGAGTTTGCGCGGTGGTGGAAGCTGCTGATCACCGGGCTGGCGCACTGACTACGAGTCCCGGTTCCTAGAGGTCGCACTACCGTTCCACCTTGCTTTTCTCGAACCTGAAAGATTTCATCCAGCAGAGTGCTGTGGAGCGGGAGGCGGCCGTGAAATGAACCTCCGTTGGGCAAAATCTCGTCATCTGTTAGCTCGTGACTCGTGTTTAACTTGTTGGACACCGGAGACTGATCGCCAGCGCTTCTGTTACCCAGCATACCTTGCTGTTGATGCTGCTGCTGCATCAGCCCCTGGTGATTGGTGTGGTAGAACCCATTTACAGCCCCAAACAGACTCCCAGCTTGCCCCCCATTGCGACTGCTACCCCCTTGCTTATTATTATAAACACAAGGCTCATCCGCATTGCTGTCATTTGCACCGCTGTGGCCCCTGGGAGCCCTGTTGTTCTTTGTCACATCACATTCACTGTCTATGTCGCTGCCGTCTATGTAAGGAATGGAAGAGCTGCTGCCTTTGTTTGCTCTGCAGGATGGACCTGGGTTGAGGAACTGCGGGTCCGGTGCTGATCCGGTGCCGTGGTGGTTCTGTTGGGACTGAATCGGGTCAGAGCCGGGCGCTGCCACTATACCGTGGAAGCCGTTGGCGGTTGATGTGGCCGCTGGCGGCTCCTCTGAACCGTTACATTCAGCTCGATGGCCCAGTCTGGTTGAGTCAGGCTGGTCTACTAACTGCACAGACATGGCAATCTGCGAAGAAGAAGGGTCGAGGAAGACAAAAAAAGAGAGCTTTTTAAACTCTGGGTGCATTAAACTGAATTCCTGACTTTGAATAAAGAGTGCAAAGAGAGAGCACACTCACTCCCCAGAGCTGCTCGGGACAGAAACAGCTTTGTACTGTTGGCCACAGAGCAGCTCCAGATTAAAGCGATAGAGAGAAGTAATAAAAAGAAGACACAAATAGTCTGTAAATGTGTACAACAAGTAAAGTTAGAAGGAAATTTAAAGATATATTAACTAGTAAAGACTATGGGTGGATAAAGGTCAGTGTCTGTTGGTTCTAAAGCGTGTATCACCTCTTTTGGCACTTGAGATCTGAAGGACGAAGACTCAGGCGACATGCTGCTATTGGACAGGATCTTACTGTGCTTCCTGAAAAGAGAGGAGGTTGCAGATGAGGTCAAAACACGTGCAACTAATCAGGAAAACAGATGTACGATCGCGGTTTCTGTTGTTGGAGTAATCCAAACAAAGGAGGGAGCTTCACCTTTCAAATGGAAGTTTCTTGAGCTCCGAGTCTTTCACATCGTCGATGATCTGCTTCTGGGTTCGACCACTGCAGGTGATGAACACAAAGTAAGCACAAATGCGCACGTAGTAGTGTTATGATGCTGTCCATTTCTGGTCCTCTCCTTACCTGAACCGGAATGAGGATCCTCTGGTGAAGAGGATGGGTTTGGGTTTGGCCTTGGGCTCCTCGAAGAGCCTGAAGAAGGCGTGATACTCTACACAGATCTTCCAGAAGACCTTACAGCAATCCCTGCTGGCCATGGCAAACTCCAGCGTGTCGTGGTGGGCACTCTGCTGGAAGATGCAGACGTGAGTATGGATGGAGGGAAGAAAAGATGCAGGATGGGTAGGGAAAATAAGAGCGGAAAGGATAAAAGGGGTGTGATATGTACTTACAGCGGGGTCTGCTCTCAGCTTGATTAGGAACTTTTTGCGTTTGAAGCTGAGCTTGCGAACCTTGGACCAGTTGAAGGCGTTAATTTTCGTGTACCCCTGAATAAAGAAGACATGATGAGAAGATGATGAGAATGAACTTCTTCTAAAAAAGGTACAATAATTTATTCTCCACATCCCAGAAGGTGTACTATTTGATTCCTGTAAATCCTCTACCAAATATTATGCATGCCCATTTTCCAGAAAACATTTAAGGAATTTACAGCTTCCCCTCCCTATGCAGCCTGGTTCCCGACTCTAGAACAACTCTCACTTCAGCAAAGCAATTACAGGTTTGTGGGAGAATGTTAGGTTTGATATTTATGGTTTCACCTGAAAAACCAGCACGCCAATGTGCGCCACAGCCAGACTGAGTTTAGTACCCTCTCGGTCCTTGGCCGGGTGCAGACGAACACCGTACATCTCCAACCGCCGAGCGATTTCCAGCAACTGGTAGTCTGACTCTGCGGGAGTCTGCCCGCTGTGGAGGAGAGTGATCAATCAATCAATTAATCACAATACCCATCAATCAGCAGCTCATCTTTCTCAAGCTCATGAGAGAAGAACAATCTGATTTAGTTTCTTCTTGTTCTGTTTGCTTGCAGATAAAGCTTCTCCACTGATAACCCTCACCAAGTGTTGGACATGATTCCAGATTTCTATCGCAGATTTATTGTGAGTGTAAAAACAACAAACAGTCTTAAAATACACCACAGGATCAGATGGTACGACCCGCTGTGGGCGGAACGAAATCTGCTACATGAGAAGTTTCCTCGCAAATCTGAAAATAGCTTCCTGTTTCCTGTATGAGCTGCTGAATTAGCCACTTCCTTCCTGCGTCGGCTAGGGTGGCTGAAGGAGGGAGGGAGGGGGAGGTGGGATCAGTAGCCCACAGAAAGAGTGTGTGGTGCACAGCGTGACTGATAATCAACACATCAGTGGTTTCGTTTCCATTTCTCATCTGTGGTTAAGCGACAGTTTTAGGGGAATTTGCATCTCCAGAAAACAAGGAAAGGTCATATATTTGCAAACAGCGTTCCAAAGCACAGCTATGATGTAAATGAGAAGGTGTGTTGAGTGAATGTGTGGGGGGCACAGAGAGAGTGTAATGTGGTATGTTTGCAGATAGTCACCTCTGCGGGGGAGGGATTAAAAGGGTGTGTGTGTGTGTGTGTGTGTGTGTGTGTGTGTGTGTGTGTTGTGGCTAAACAGATAAACATCTCTGCAGGAGGGAGAGAGACTGGGCTGGGTGTAATTGTGTAATGGGTGAGTCCACATTTGAATAAACAGATAAACATCTCTGTGTGTGAAAGTGTGTGTGTGTGTGTTTTGGTGACACCTTAAAGCCCAGCCACAAACTGATCCCAAGTCAGACTGTAGCTCGACTTGTTTTTGAAGCAAGGATAATCTATTATAGATAAACAGTGCTGCTCAAGCATCTTAGTTTTTCATCTAAAACCCATTTCAGACACAAACGAATAATCAAAGCAGTGTATTTCTTTAAGCCTTAAAACATGTCTGGAGGGGTTTTTATATTTGGAAGTATTTTCACAGTGGAGTGAAAACGCATAAAAAGCAATCCCAAGAAAGTATAATTGTATATTTCTTTTAGAGCTGAAGCAATAATCAAATCATGAAAAAATGCCAAAATATAAGCTAATTCCAGCTTCTCTCGAAAGTAGATCATTGCAGACAAAACAAGTGATTTAAAGCAGTCTCCTTGAGCTAAATTATCTACAGTATTTTCTGACATTCTACGTACTTCATGCAGTAAACTTTGAATGTTTCATATAGAGATCCATTTCTCCCTTTATTTTATAAAAACGGCACGTGTGAGGCTGCACATACAGTAAATGCATGTGTGGACATGCGTGCGACAACTCACACATGCTTGCGGTGGCAGTCGGTGATCTTGTCTCTGATGGCGTCCTGGTCGGGCAGGTACTTATTGTGGAGGAGATGCTGCCAGCTCTGGGTCTCATCAAAGTCTCCTATTTCAGCTGATGGACGAGGAGGAACAAGGAGATTCGATATTTATTTGGAGTGAAAACGAGGAGAGAAATGGGGTGAGTAGATTTAATAAAGAGTGTTGAGGAGAAGAGGAAATTGCCAAGATAAAGACAGCAGCAATCTAAGCAAATACAACAACAGAAAATACACACACTATTATTTCTCCTGTCTCTATTCTTGTTGATTTGTTATCTATTCTACAGTAGATCACATGAAGTGTGCTGATGCGTGTGTCCTCCATCTGTACCCAACACCAGCGATGATAAACCCTCACTGTGTACGGTGCCCCACACACACACACACACACACACACACACACACACACACACACACTACAGCGCTGGCGGTTACCAGAGCAACCGAGTGATATTCTTTAGCATGCTGAGCAGTCGCCCAGCCGATGTCTGCTAGACCGAGCTGAATCCATAAATTCTACATCCTTCACAATATGGTGCTGAATAAATAACAACGGCCGCTATGATGAAGACAAGAGAGCTCGACGACGCAGGAGGAAAACAAAGTGTTCATCAAATTCAAATATCTTAATCTGGCAACACACAAGGAATACCTGCTGCTGAAATCCCCCCAAAGGGAATATCTGTCACCAGCTTGAGTATTTGGTGATTTATAGTCGGTCTTCCACATGCTTTCTCATTACACTGGGTTCCCACAATGAGACTAAATTCCATTGTCGGAAGTGGAAAAATATAAAATTGCTGGCACAGGCATTTCAATGATAAAGGTTTTTAGTGTTACATGTGTGTGTTGCATTTACACTGAATGATGTGGGAGACCATGAGAGCAGCGCTGGTGTCGTTGCAGATGAGATGACCGCAGGCCAGGTCGCGTTTAATCTGCAGGGCGAACAGATACCTGCAGATATAGAGACAGAGAATAAAAGATACAACACAGACAGAAATAGTGGGAGGGAGAACGACAGAAGGCAAGGAGGTAAAAAGAAGGTTATTAGGTTAATGCACACTTTATAAACTCAACTGTTCAAAGCAATGCCATTACCATCAGACTGCTGGCATCTACATATCTATTTATACGACTTCAAACCAATCCCTAATTGAGTTTATGACCTTTTCTGTTAATCATTATACAGTCGGCTACTTGAAACATGATCTGGACCTCATTCACACACACACGCGCACCCAACGTGCACATGTTGTCAGGCCATGACGCTGCATTTCCATCAAGAAACAGCAGAGACAGCAATATAAAGAAGACTGTAGGGAAGTAAGACAGCTGACCTCAAAACCTACAATCAGCTGAAAGACAAAACATGCATGCTGTCTGCTCAAAGGACACATAGTGGACTGTCTGCAAGAGGTGCACATGTGCATCCATGTGTGTATGTGAATGTGTGATTAATGCTCCACGGCAGCCTTTTATGCGATATCCAAGTCAACCTTTTTCTCACTGCCCGATTATCTCTCTAATAAAGTTAATGAGGCTTTGGCGAGTTTTGATATCTTTTTTTATTTGAGTCTGGAGTCATTTTACTATTGAAGAGCGCCGCTGCAGTTTAGAGTGAAATGCATCGTGTCAATTCACAGTGTGCTATTTAACTTGATGTGTAAGCAAGGAAACACAACGCAGCAGAACTAATACAATGATTAACACCTCTGATTGGCCAGAGTGCTATTTTCAATAAATGCCTAATATCAGCCTGATATGTCTTCAAAGAAATCTTTCTTCCATCTGTGGGTTTACATATCTGGTCCATCTGTGCCCATATTAACCATCAAAGGAAACGCTGACAACAGCTAAATGCTGCGAGAGCCAAACAAAGGAAGAAAAAATAAGGCTGTGCACCCACTTCCTGTTTAACGCTGGAGTCAGCTGCAGAAGGCAATTCTAATCTAGCACATTTAAAGCTACTATATAGAGAGGTAATTACAGATTGTAAACACACTGAAGAGCTATTGCTAAAAAAAGACTGAATAGTATTCAAAAGGGGGGGTTGATTAAAGCTCTATTAAATCTCAAGAGGCACTATATGCTTGCTTCCTGCTTGGCTCTGGTCTCAAGTAAACCCAGCTGGGAGCTTAGAGTGAACCAGAGCATCATGGGAGAATGTGTCCAGTCAAATGTTTTGTACTGAATGAGCTCAGACGAGCACAGAATGAGCAGACTGACTCTGTCAGACTAAACAAAACAGAGAGGCAGACAAGATGGGGGCTGAGAAGTTACTCCCTTTGAACAAGGACTTGAAAAGGAGGAAATATGTGGAACATTTGTTCTATATAATCGAATCTTTGTACGTTAACGGGGGGAATGCTTCCTAGACATAGTTGGATGTTTGAGATTACTGCAACATGAAAATATGTCATGTCTTTTTACAGTAAAACAGCTGGTTTTCTGAAGATATGGATCAAAAGTGGTCAGAGTATTCATCTCCTTTTAACTGGTTTGGAACAACAAAGGAAGAAAAAGACCTTGTTTGATGTTATGGCATGTGAATATGGACGCGTTATAAATGGTAAGGGGCTGGCTAAAAAAAGTACAAAAGAAGATGCAAACATATTGTAACAAGGCTTCTGCTTTATGTTCAGACACAGCTGTGAAACTCCTCCTGAAGGACTGGAAACCAAAAGCAAAAACAGCGCGTCTTTAAACCTAAGAGGTTCGTCCTCAGGTAAGGTGTGGTTTGCGTGTTCCAGAAGACCTACCGAGTCAGCTCCTCCAAGAGCTGTGTGTGGTCAGGAGGGAAGAACTTCACCACAAAACGAAGGATGGTGTTTTTAGGGCCTGAAGGAGAGGAAAGAAGGGAGATGGTTACATATTCTGAGATAATCGTGAACAATCATTATTGACATTTGTCATTTGCTTATCTGACTTACGTCTGATCTGTTTCAGTGTCGGCTTCAGCAGGTCCAGCCACACCTATGGAGGACGGAACTTTACTTTAATCACTATACATCGAACCACAACATCTAGAAATAAGTACAATTGCAGCTGTGACTGTGTAACTTAAGTTAATTTGTACTCAAAATGGTACATACTGTAAACGCCAATGAGTTTTGATACCAAAACAATGGTATAAAAATCTCTATACGACATAAAAAACTTCCCAACAGAAAAAAATTCAGGCATTTCCTAATAATTTCCTAATTTTGTTCTAATTATACGGACTACAGGACTTGTTCCATTTAAATACAACATAATATAAAGTCAGCAGTCCATTGTTGTTGCAAACTGTATTCTCCACATTTGAAATGCTGCTTGTAATGGCATTTGATACGTAGTGGAGTATGTTTGGATGTGGGTTACTTATTACGTCTATAAAATTCACACTAGCTAACATGCACAAGATAATAAACGCTCAGTTATCTACTTGATCTTTAGCTTCATGTATTTGCATGTGGGCCTGTAATTCCTGTGTACTGACAATGTTGTCCCCTATTTCCTCAGCATTACATCATTTGTTCCATCGATCCACGTCAGAGCAACTGTTTTTCATGCCTGAGGCACTAAAATGCACAGCGAGACTCCAGTGTTTGAGTACACTGGAGTGTTTGTGTGTGCATATTGAGGAATAAACAAGCCTGACTGTTGTGCTCCAGCTAATTTTCCCTCAATCAGTAACTTCTTCACGCACCAATGCAGCAGCAGTAGAGACAACAGCATCTGCAAACATTCCTGTGTGCACATTATTACAACCAGCTGCTGCTCCTCCATGAGTCCAGGTTAAAACCACATCGATGTAGATGAAAGGAAGATATGCTAAACAGGAAGTGTCAGGAGTCTCCATGTTTGCAGAGTGTGGACCCGTGTGATTAGAGTTAAAGTTAACTTGAGAGCTTCCAGCACTCTGACTATGCTGCAAAAACATTAAGGATGCTAAATGTAAATCTGCGTGAGTCATGTGGTTTTAAACCACACGGCAGACATGAGAAAGCTTCTGTTGAAAGTTCCCCTTTAGGTTGTAGATGCAGGGAAATGCAACGCAGAAATTATTTATTGTGTGAATTTTATAGTAAAAGTAGGCTTTCGAGCAGCGACATACTGCACTAAAAGGAGTCGAAATATATCAAATGTGTATTGGACTTTTATGCTCAGAAAATATCTTGTACCATATGTCAAAAATAACTCAAAAATAGTCTCACCATCATCTTGCGATGGTCCTGGTACTCAAGTCCAAAATAGTCTCCCTCTGCCAGATTGAGATGGACACAAACCAGGTCAAACAGCACTTTGCCGGGGGAACGCTGCTGCAAGAGAGGCACAGAGGTGGAATTAGAATAAAAAAAATAAAAGGAGGACAGGAGAGGTGAGAAGAGGAAAGGAAAGTAATGCAAATGACAAAATGTCACACAGCATCTCATCAGGGGAGCGGTGATAATGGAATTGAGGAGATCAGGAGTCTTTTTCAAAAGGTCATCTGTGACTGATTTAAGTCTCCACATGTGTCACTTTTAAATAGGACTTATTCTAAAAAGAAGCTGGCGGGGAAGGTGAGAGACACTGGGAGAAAAAACCATGGACTCGTGGACACCATTTTCTCTAACGAGCCTCTCCCCTCTTCACGAGCCCCTGACCTTCGACCTCGATGTGAGGTCCAGGCTTCAGGTCCGTGTCTAATGAATAGCTGGAGGCTGAGGCTCAGCTGGGAGTGTTCAGTGTTCCCTGTCTAATGATGCAGCTACACCTGACAAAGCTGGCAAAGCAGTGATTCGTTAGCATGTATGTGCCGTTGTTTTGTCTGGACTCAGTCATTACAAGCAGCAAATAAACTTCTTCAAGATTTGAGATTTTCCAAAATAGAAACAGACGTGGAACTAAACCCTAAATTAGCCCCGGATAATTATCTCTGAGGCAGCTTGAGTTACCACCCTGAAGAGTTACAGCATACTATTATACATGCAGTCAGTCTGAAGAGGCTCTAGTCAAGAGAATGTGTATTATAAGACAGCAAACATTCTTTCCTTTGACAGGAAGATATAATTATAGTAGAAGGACTTTTACTCTTTATAAAAATGTTACATTTTTTCAGATTGGCCCATCTTTCCTCTTTCAATGTCCTGCAAATAGAACTTTTTATTTGAGGAAACTGTGAAGACAAATAGCAGGACAGACTAAGTGATTTAAAATGCTTAAAACATTCAAATTAAAATGTGCTGGAAAGGAGGAGGCAGAGAAGAAAAATGAGGAGCAGAGGAATCAGAACAGTGAAGGCCGAGTGTTAGCCAAGTCTGTCACCATCTGGCTACCGTGTGTGTGTGTCCATCTGTTTCTGTGTGGTCAGCCCGTCTGTAGAGACACACCCACCCACCCACCCACCCACCCACACGCGCGCTACACGGGCCACGTGAAGCAACACTGCTAGTTGATCACAACATGTCAAGTTATTCTGCTGTCAGATAGCAGAGATACAAAATGACTGAAATCAGGGGTGCATGTCATGACAGAGAGACTCGACAGATGCCACGGTCACGAGCAAAGCTCAGGGATCCCTGGAGTTTGGACTGCATCCAGATGGAGTGGTAATCTTGGTTTAAAGGAGGTTAAGAGGAGAGGAAGTGGGAGAACAGGTTGGACGAGAATCCCAGAGCTTGATTCTCTGCATTTATTGTGTAAAAAACAACTTATTTTTTTGATTAAACCATACTTTCAGTTAACACTATTAGCTTAACATTTATTCAAGTACTGTACTTAATTACAATATCGAGGTACTCTTATTTCAGTATTTTGTTTGTGTATATCTATTTTGTGAGACTTGATACTCCTACTTCACATTTGATACTACAGATATTAAAAAATGTCTTTCTGTTTTGTGTCCACAGTTCAGGCCATACGAGTCCGCTACAGAAAAGCGGTGGACTCTGGCAAAAGAAGTGGCCATGGAAGAGTCGTTTTGCTGTATTTTGAGCTCTGCCAGTCGATTTGGGGAGGCTCTCCAGCTACCAGTGCCATGAGGGAAGGGATCGAGGCAGAAGACATGGCAGTGGAGGCCCTGGGAGCCAACGGCAACACCTCTGACTGTGGGTCAACACCAACATTGAGGTGCTGATGCAGCACATCGTGGGATCTGGGAACCGGCCTATGACGCCACACTCATTGCACAACCCGGCATATGGACAAACACCTACAAGATCCACACAGCCATACTACCACTCACCTGTGCATTTCCAGCACACCGGCAATGCACAGAGACATCCCTCAGCTGTGAAAAGAGCTCTTGCACTGTAGTGCACTTTCAAGCATTTGCTTTTTTCTCAATATTTTTACTTATTTGCATTTAATATTTGCACAATGCAAGGTTTGCACGGACTTGTTTTTGACACTTTATATTTGTTAATTTTAGTTAAGTTTATTATGTTACTGTTTAAGTTTTCTAGTGTTTATTTTCTATTGTATTTGTATTTTATTCTATTGTAATAAAAGGTCCTTTGATACCAAACCTGAGATCTGACTCATTCCAACACATTCACTGAAGCAGAGATGAATTTAGTTTTTTTTATTTGAGCATTTACACACAATAACCACCAACTAAGATACTCCAATGCTACATGGTTATTATCACAAAAAAAGAAAATGAACAGTTAAAAATCAAACATCTACAACCTACAAACATGCAGATGGTATGTTTTCTGCTCTTAAGTTTAGATAAAGTAAACAATAAAACAAGACTGAATGCCCTTTCTTCATGTCAGCCAGCATGCATCAGATATTCAGGGTTTGTGTTGTATCACTGTACTCTGCAGGCCCCTCTTCGTACATCAGACTCAAGACAGAAAAAAAGCATTTATAAGGAACACTAGCAAATACAAGTTTTACTATGTTATGGGTCAAGAAATGTGGTTAGCACACGTCTCACGCGCTTCCCCTCGGTTTCGTTGTCGTCTGCTCTCGTGGCTCTGCTCGGTGGCTGGAAGTCCCTCTCGTACTGCAGAGCAGCATTCATGCATTGTTCGCTAACAGTTTCTTTGTGAACCTCACAATAGTTGTGTAGCACAAAACAAGCATAGATGACGAAGGGAAGGTCCGCCATGTTTATGTCCATTGCCCTCCTTAAAGTAGCAAATCGTGCCTTCAGACGTCCGAAGGAACATTCAATCACCATGCGTGCCTTGCATAGTGATAGCCCATAATACTGCTCCTGTGGTGTAGCTCCGCCATTGGGGTATTCCTTCATGAGATACGGCATCAGGGGATACGCTGGGTCACCCAGCAGAAAAACAGGGACAGCATCTTCGCCCTCTATCAATTCTTTAGGGCATGAGGGAATTGCTCCATCTTTTAGATCACAACAAAATTTTGAGTTGGCAAATATACGCGCGTCGTGCACACTTCCCGGCCATTTCACAACTACGTCCATGAAACAGTATTTGTAGTCACACACGGCCTGTACATTCAAAGAATGTTTCCCCTTTCTGTTGATGTAGTCTGTAGGTTTAGCACGTGGTTGTTTCACTTCGATATGTGTACAGTCAATGGCCCCCAAGCATTGCGGCATACCGTGTGCTTGGTAGAAGTTGACCACAAGGTCCCTCACTTCGGGCTCGGTACTCGGTTTCCGAATGTACTTGGGACCCAGAAAGACGGTGATGGCCCTACAGACTTGTCGGATGATGACTGAAACAACTTGTCGAGATAGTCCAAATGCATTAGCGGTTTTCCGGAGTTTGCCCGCGTCGCTCAGGTAATACAACGTGCACGCTACCTTTGTAAGTACATCCACGGGCGCCCTCATCGTGGTTGTTGCTCCCTCCACATGCGGACGTAACATTTCGCTAAGGTTGATCAATGCCGATCTGGACATTCGAAAGTTGTCTCGCCATTCTTCGGGAATCATAACTTCATTCATGAAATGATTCCACCAGGCGCTCGTTCTTCCTGGCTTCACCCAAAACCGGCGCTCCGTGTAGGGCTGATGACGCCTCTGGACACGGGAATTGTCGCACAGCGCTCGAACGATAGCTTGCCTCCTCCGCATGTAGGCAGTAGTAGCATTGTAAAATGCAGAATTTAACTGCGCAACAGCTGCTAGTATAGATAACAAAGCAAGTAACGCTTGATATTCATTATCCATGTTGAAATGAATCACTGGTAGCCGTGGCTGTTTGTTTTCTTCCGGGGGTAGGGTCACGTGATAGGGGTTGTGACGAATCAGGAAAGGACACGGCATGACACGTCATGACTGCTAAGAACCAATCAAATAGCGAACGCGGGTGTGCGTTTTCAAATGGAAACGGAGTAATGTGGACATTAGACATTTAGACTTTAGAGACTGAGGAGGAGACAGAATTTAGGACAAACTAAACCTTGCATTTTTTTTGTATACAAATCACGATCCTGCACAGAGGAAGACTAGCGACAGAAAAGCCAGAGCCAGAAAGGGAAAGTGTTTGGGTGCAGCAGGTCTCCTCAAACCAGATGAACGTAATCAGTTTGTTTCGGGCGAAAGCAATTTCCTTTAAATTCAGCAAACCCTCCTCCGATAACTAGAGTAAGGCCGTGTGTGTATGCATCGGGGAGCTATCCCATATCACGTTCAAGTAATGCAAGGCGGTGGAATGCAGAGGGGAATGTCATTGATTGTGAAATCTTGAGAGATCAATACCAGTTAGAATAACGAGTCCGAAGCAAACCTGATGCTAAACCCTGTTATTCATGTGTTTCTGTCATAACAACAAGCTGGCAGGAAAAAGACCTCAATGTAACCTCAGGAGCTGTAATGAAAAGGTGAGAGCAGAAGTGCTGGAAAGTGAGGAAAGCTGGATCCCAAACTGTCTTAAACCCAAATAGGCGTGCTCAGATTCAGCTCTAAAAACAACATGGTAGCCGACCAAGTTCCCTGAATCTGGTCAGCAGAGTGATGAGAGAAGAAGGCTTCAAACTTCAAAGCTGAGTGTAGAAAATTAAGCTTTCAAAGCTTGATAATCGTGGAGGTTTATAAAACCTAAACCACATTTAAGGCGAGAAGTGGGATGATGTGAAACAAAATACTCATCAACGCTGATTGAGTGAACAGTCACCTTTCACTTACAGGTATAGCTTCCTGTTATGTGAGAGAATACCTGCAAGTTTCTGCCCAGACCGCTCAGTTCCTAATCCAAACTAAGAGCTCGCCCTTACACGCGATCGTTGGTCCAGATCAAAAAGGTCACGGATTCTCCAGAGGTGGAAGTGGATGTCATGTTGGATGAGTCAGAGCTCCTTCTCTGTTTTTTTATGACATTTCTACAATCTCACATTGAAAGAACAGCAT